TTTCACCATGTTGGTCAGGCTGGTCTTGAACTCCCAACCTCAGGTGATCCACCCGCCTTGGCCTCCAAAGTGCTTGGATTACAGGCGTGAGCCACCACGCCCGGCAATCTGTTGGTTTCTAAATCAAGTCTCTGGACAGGTGCTGGCCTGTGATAAGGTTTTCATTGACCCAGCCCAAAATAAGAAAACTAAAGGTAATAAGGAAAGCTGACATTTACAAGCTTCCTATGTGGCAGGGCACTTTCCTAAATGCTTTCTATGCTAACTCATCATAATTGCAGTCCTATGAGATAAGTGGTTAAAGCTACAGTCAGGCCTGGTTACACGTGTCTTCAGTGTGAGACTACTGAGACTTGTCTACTGAGACTGACTTTTGTTTCTTTTCTAGATATAATTTTAGAAGTTGAGAAATGTATTTTGAAAAGCCATAATAGGAAAAACTATGGTATATCATTATTTTTAACTTGCCATATGAAAACCTAAGGCACAGGGAGGTAACTTGCCCACGGGCGCAGCTCTAGGAAGTTGGGGAGCCAGGATTCACTGTCAGCTAACTGACTCTAAATCCAGCCCTCCTGGCCATGGCTGCCAGCTCAGTAGTGAGTTTTCCCCAGTGCTCCATTTGTTCAATGTAAAGAATTGTTAAAGAAGTCTTTTCTTTTATGAAATTAGAGAATAGTTTTGTTTTATGTGTTTTTTGGCAAAATGCAAAATTGGCAGCCTTTGCCCCTCCTTTTTTTGTTGATCCATAACACCCAAGTTACCCCTTTTTATTTTATAGGTGAAGAAACTCACCCACTGAGAGATGAAGCAGTTTGCCCAGGGTCACACATTCTTCATCCAGGCACTGAACTGATAGTCTTCCACTGGTTTTATTAGACTTTAGAAATTGGACAAATTTGCTAAGAGGAAGAAACACTGGGAAAGCTTTTTGTCCATGGTTTCTGTGTTAAACTGTAGTGCCTGGCTCCTGTGGCGTGAGCCTCTGAATGTTAGCCAAGCATACATTTGATCCAGTAGTTCCCAAGACTTGAATGGCTTGATGAATTTTGCATTTATAAGTCATATTCTTCTGTGGATGTCACTGCTAATTATTCATTGTGCATTGTATTTCAGAGATTATTTTTTTTCCTATGTTTTAAACTGAAACCCAGAATCTTAGTCATCTAGTTGGCCAACCCTGGTTCTTCATACTCACTCAGCGTACCTGTATCCTCAGTTTCACACACGATAGGCCGGTACATTTTATTATATGTCACTTATTTTTGTTTTAGGATGGAGCCACAGCTGAAAAAACTACAAACCAAATATGATGAACTTAAAGAGAGAAAGTCTTCCCTTAGGCATGCAGCATGTTTCTTATCTAATTTAAAACAGCTCTATCAAGATTATTCAGATGTTCAAGCGAAAGAACCAAATGTAAAGGAAATGGTAACTCCAATTTTACTTTTTATCGTGCTTCAGAAGATGATTGTGGGAGAATATTTGCATGCTAGAGTATCAGAAGCTTTGGGGAAAGACAAATGGAGAGTCTACCTAAGCCAGTGAAACTTCATTATATCAGCACTTTTCTTAGCTACTTAAGGCTGGAGGAGTAATGTCTAGAATCGCCGATTTGTTTAAGGTATTTTCACTCGGATAGCTGAATTTCATCAAGGGAAGTTTATATCCTATGTATAAATCTCAACTGAAAAATCACATTCTGCTTTTTTACAATTTTCATTCCTGTAAGACCACTCAGCCATGTTTGAAAGACCAGCCATTTCTATTTTGTCTAGCCCATGTTCACAGCATCTTTCATATGTGAAAAGCCATTTTCCCATATAACTGGTAGGTATGATTTTAGAAGTTAAGTAATAGGCTGGGCATGGTGGTTCACACCTGTAATCATAGGACTTCAGGAAGCTAAGGCAAGTAGATTCCTTGAGCCCAGGAGTTCAAGACCAGCCTTGGGTGATAGTGAAACCCCATCTCTACTAAAAATACAAAAACTAGCCAGGTGGTGGTGCATGCCTATAGTCCCAGCTACTCTGGAGGCTGGGGTGGGAAGATCACTTGAGCCTGGAGGTCCAGGCTGCACTCAGCTGTGATCACACCATTGCACTCCAGCCTGGGTGACAGAACAAGACTTTGCCTCAAAAAAAAATTAAGAAACATTAAAAAGGAATATAGTAGGAAAACAGATTTATTAATACATTTTATAGTTGCTTCTGGATTTTTACTGCAAACTTTGCTACTGTTATCCCATCCACCTCAGATTAATAGAAATGTTTTAAGTTCTAGAAAAAAAAAATTTGTATACCCTAATAGGAATTTATATAAAATATGTAGATATAATTAAATGTAATGTATACATATATTTTATGATCAGATTTGTATTCTTCTAAATTCAGTGTTAAGGTTTTGACAATTATCTAAGTTAATTTTCCTGAGCCTAAAGGTTATTTGTATATTAGAGATCTAGAAATAGAACACTTTTAAAGGTATTTTTTTAATTACCTAACTAGTCCAAAGTTTGATTTGGAGTTTGGTTACTCAGTTTGGGGAAGTTACGTGTATCATTGATTCAGCTTGAACATAATACTTCGGTTAAAAGCGAGGTTTAGTGTCTCTGCCTTGTGTGGATCACACCACTGGATGACCATCCTGATCTTGGTGTGACCTGAGTGCCTTTTTGCACTTCTCTTGTAGTTACTCTCCTTTTTGCCTTAATGATGGTAGATATTTGGGTATATGTCTTACCTCTAAACACTTAGTGACAAATGTGAGTTGTTGACTTTATCCCTCCCTGGAGCAGGTGCCTGGGAGAGCTTGAACACATTAGCTTGTCAAATATTTGTATAAAATCCCAGTATCGTGTATGGTAGTCATGGTGTGACAGCTTCTCTGCTGTCATCTTGAAAACATGATATTAAACAGCAAACTATCAAAGTATGATAAAATTCTGTAAGGAGAAATTAATCATGCACCCTTAGATACAATTTGCAACTGGAAGTTTGACTTTAATTACTTTGAAATCGTGAATTAGATATTGTGTGTGCTATTTTATTTTGGGTTTGTATTCTAATTTTAACTTTAATCATTAAGAACATTCGGATTGGCAACCTTTGAGACATTTAATTGATTTTCCCAATAATCTCTCTAGATAATAGGTTTTACTTTAACTGAAAGAACTAATGGAATGAGAACACCAGACCCATAAAAGTTTAAAAAAAAAAAAAAAAAATCTATCTTAGTTTTCTGTGAGCAGACCCCACACAGCACAAGCAGACTTGCCCAAATCAAGTCTTGACATGTCCCAGGCATGATTTTCTATCTTCAGTAATAGAGATGACACAGTTCTTTGAATCATCTGGGATGAGATCAGTTCATGCTTTACAGAGCAGCTCCTAACAACTTTGTGATCAATTATGTTCTAAGGAAATGGATGAAAACCAATTTTCTTAGTGGTCCTAGTTAAAAATGAAAGGAGGACTAGTTAATGGAAAGCTCTATCAGAATTTGCATTGGTCATAAGATTGAGCTATGTAGGGACAAGGTTATATAAGTTTTGATATTGCTAATTATATAAATTATTTTCTTTCAACAGTATGATTCATCCAGCCTTCCAGCTCTGTTATTTAAAGCAAGAACACTTTTGGGAGCTGAAAGCCATCTGCAAAATATCAACCATCAGTTAGAGAAGCTCCTTGACTAGAAATGAGAAGAGCAGTCTACTAAAACATGCCTATAGGAAGACTAGTCTCATGCTGTTAGCTTTTGAAACTGTACTTTATTAAATAAAGTTTTGCAAAGCAGTTAAGGCCTACTTACCAGAATCTAAAATTCGTTATTCCAATTAAATGGTTGTGAACAATGTTAAAATGGCATCAATAGTTTTAGAGGCCATAATCTTTTCTGGTTAATATCTTCAGTAATTTTAAAATGCTGACACCTTGTCTAATCAGCCCCAGATATAAGAGTTGTAATAAACTTGTAAAATTAAGTTGATGTGAACATAGACTAATTTTTGATTAATAAGGGGATTTTTACTGAATTTAAGTACACCAAAATTGGAAAACAGTGATAAAACTTAATTTATGTAAACAGGTTTAACAATATATTTATCAAATCTGATAGACATCAGGCAAATTATAGTCTGGTGACAAGTGTCCACAGTGAATTAGCTACTCTTGTAATACTTCTATAATTAGTTCATCAGGAATTTCATCCACTTCACTATTGTAACTCAGAAGACTGTTCTCTGCCGCTTCAGCTAATTCAGCATCTTCAGTAGCTTCTAAAAAATAAGCATCATCAATGCCATTATTCCAGTCTGTGTCAGCAGATGCACCTGTTGACAGCTTGCTAGGTGATGGCTTATGAGGATTCTGGGTTTCACTGCTCCTAGTTTCATCTGTTGTAAACTCTTCTTCCTTTATTTCAGTGGAGAAAGGTGAGCGAGTGGGATATGAAAATATTTACTTAGCATATGTGATTTGACCATATACTCTATGCTAAAGTAAGGTATTAAGTGACAAGATACTATAGTGAATATGCTGGAGGAATGCTGTCTCTGATACCTCACCATGGGAATGAGTGCACGGATTGAAACGTTGCTGCACTTAAGCTTAGGCAAAACTTGAAACTGCAAATTTGAAATTACATCAATTATTTTGCCATAGAATGTCTTTAGGATGGATATTTAGTTGATCCTCCCACTAAATAATTTTATTTATGTAAAGAATGTCCTTATTCAGTTTAGTGGCACATGCCTGTAATCACAGCTACTTGGGAGGCTGAGACAGAAGGACTGCTTGAGGCCAGGAGTTTGAGACTAGCCTGGGCAACATGACACCCCCGCATTAAAATACTATAAAAACTCCTTTAGCTACATTCTTAAATATTAGGAGATGAAGAGTTTTGATGTCTACAATTTAAGAGTCATCAAAAATAAGAATGCATACGTATACAATAGAGGGAGAAGGCGAATGTAACCAAATGCTAACAAATGGCAACCCCATGAAGGACAGATGGCAGAGTTCCCTATTGTACATTTCTGTAGGTTCAGGTGACCAATGAAATAGGATAATCACTGCAACAGAAAAGCAAGTAAATAACACCAACTGGTAATTTAGTTTAAAATATTTTTTAAACAAGTGAAGCAGGAAAGGCAAAACGTTAACTGAAAACTAAGTGATAGCTACATGGGTGTTCATTCTATTCTTTATCTTTTATTATTTTAAAAGGTTATGTCCAAGTAGTGGTAATACATTACACCAGTTACTTTCAACTTGGCATTTTGAGGTGTTAACTGGATTAGCAGAAAAAATACTTTAAAAATGCACTGCAATTGTGAATATCTAAATCACAATCTAGACCAACAAGGATGATGCAATCATCCTCTTGGCGACAAAGTTTATTTTTTTAAATTTACTTTGTTCTTGTTTCAAAACGTTTTAACCTGGTATTTTACCAGAGAATCTGGCTATCAGTTATTTTATGTCCAGCTCTTGCAGACCAAGAACGGGATTTCCACCATTCCAAACGGAGTTTTTTCGAGAGACATGTTTTAAGACAGTAGATACCAGATTGAGTTTTCTAGAATATAAAATCAATCACTTGTTCTGCTTGTAGCAGGTAATTTTTATTCTAACCATAACACTGTAAAGGAAAAAGCTGATAGATGTGGCAAAAAAAACAACTAGAATTTAAAAGTATAAAAAATATGTCAAAAAAGTACTTAAGTTATTGCAAATAAGTTACAAAAAAATGGACAGAGAATAGGTACAGGCACTTCATTAAACAGCGAATCTGAAAAGAGTTCATTAAAGAAATGCAAATTAAAACAACTGAGGTACCCCTTTTTGCCTACCAGATTAGTAGTGATTGAGGCAAACAAGCACTGTTGGCAAAGTGCGAGGAATAGGTGCTTTCATCAATCTGTGGAAGTCTAATACCCTGTAATTCTTATAGAGAGCAATTTGGTAATAGGTACTGCTGAAAATATTTGTGATATTTTTTAAGTCGAAGAAGTGAAATGTGTGCTACCACTTCAGAAAAAAAAAACATGAGCATACATAAGTTCTGGAAGGTACATGTCAAAACATGTATCAGTTAGTTATCTCTGGTCAAATGAGTGCGGAAGATTCTTTCCTCTTGCTTTTTGAGTATTTTATAATTTTATGTAGCTCACTGCAACCTCCTCCTCCTGGGTTCAAGGGATTCTCCTGCCTCAGCCTCCCAAGTAGCTGGGATAACAGGCACACTCCACCATACCTGGCTAATTTTTGTATTTTCAGTAGAGACAGGGTTTCACCATGTTGGCCAGGCTGTTCTCGAACTCATGACCTCAAGGGATCTACCCTCCTCGGCCTCCCAAAGTGCTAGGATGACAGGCATGAGCCCCGGCATCCGACTAATTTTATGTATTTTCAATTCATTCCACAATGCATGCTAATTATTTGGGTAAATAAAAAATCTTTTAAGAGAAAAATGCTGGTTTGGCAATCTGGTAATACCTACCAAAATTGAATATGCCCTTTGACACAATTCTACTTCTAGAAGTTCATCCTACAGATATAGATGTTCAAAGAAACACAAAGATGGGTATTTTGTTACTTTCAAAAGCAAAACATGGGAAACTTCTTAAATGTCTGAACTGATGAAACCGTACGTCTCAAACAGCAGTGAAAAGATGTGTATTACAAGGTATGTGCTGAGATGGGAAATTCACTACAATATATTCCTGTAATGCGGTCATAAGTGAAAAGAAGGTACCAAATGTTTTTCAAAGCTGTGTGGACACTACTCGTGGCTCATGTATACTACTGTACCAAGAACTCCCTGGTAAGGAGGAAGACACTAATATCTGCACTTACCTCTTTGAAAAGAAACAGGAGACATACTTCAGCAGGTAATGGGAAACCTGAATCAGAAAGATAGCAAAACTATTACATATTATAGCTATATATTTTTTACTTTGTGGTAAAGGTAAAAATTAGTAACTCACAGTCAGATTTGAAGTTTTCTGCTTTACATACGGGGTCATGACATTTTTGATACCAAACTTCGTTTTTCAGATCAACCAGAATCCTTTATGTTAAAAAAAAAAAAAAAAACTAGCATTAATACCGAGACTGGGTGGAAAACAAAATCCAGCTGCATGCTGTTCCGAGAAATGCCTAAGACTTAAAAATGGAGAAAAAAAGTAAAAGCATGGAAATAGGTGCATACCAATTAAAATGATGGTTGCCAAAAATCACACAAAATGAACCGTAGGGCAAAAAGTAGATACTGACAAAAGTTCCCCCGGAAGACAGAACAATTTCAACCTATATTCGCCAAATGATAACAGCTGCAAAATGTGTGAGTAAAAATGGACAAGACTACAGTGATAAGCAAATTACCGTAAATCAAGGTTCTTAAACATTCTCAGTAATTTATAGATCAAATAACCACAAAAAAGGTCCAGTAAGGATACAGAAAACATGAATGACAAAAAGCAAGAAGTTTGATCTAATAGGTATATATGAAGGAGCTCTTTATAAAATAATCCCATGCCAACTATAAAGTGAATTTTATCAAAATTATCGGTTCATACAGAGAGCATAAAGCAAAATTTAGAAATAAAAAGCTAATAGAAATAATTTGGAAATTAAAAACATTTTGAAATAGCCAATGGCTCAAGGGGAAATAGTGGAAATAGAAAATGCTTAGACATGAATGGACTGGAAGTGTACATATTAAAATATATGAAATGCAGTTAAAGTGACCTTTAGAGGACAATCTTAAAAGCTTGTTATGGGCCAGGTGTGGTGGCTCACGCCTGTAATCCCAGCACTTTGGGTGGCCAAAGTGGGTGGATCATGAGGTCAAGAGATCGAGACTATCCTGGCCAACATGGTGAAACCCTGTCTACTAAAAAATACAAAAATTAGCTGGATGTGGTGGTGTGCGCCTGTAATCTCAGCTACTCAGGAGGCTAAGGCAGGAGAATCGCTTGAACCCGGGAGGCGGAGACTGCAGTGAGCCGAGGTTGTGCCACTGCACTCCAGCCTGGTGACAGAGCGAGACTCCGTCTCAAACAACAGCAACAACAAAAAGCTTGTGTTTTGAAAGAATGGCTAAAGATACATGGATTAAGTAACTAAAGTGGAAAGTGAGCAACTGAATAAACCCTAATAAAAGGCAGGTGACCAGGCGTGGTGGCTCACACCTGTAATCCCAGAACTTTGGGAGGCCGTGGCAGGTGGATCACAAGGTCAGGCATTTTGAGACCAGCGTGACCAACATAGTGAAACCCCATCTCTACTAAAAATACAAAAAATGAGCCAGTCATGGTGGCGGGCACCTGTGATCCCTGCTACTTGGGAAGCTGAGGCAGGAGAATTGCTTGAACCCAGGAGGCAAGAGGTTGCCATGAGCCAAGATCACGCCACTGCACTCCAGCCCAGACAGCAGTGCAGAACTCCATCTCAAAAAAATAAATAAAAGGCAGGAAGTCATAAAGAGCAAAAAGTAAAAAGAATCAACAAGGCCTACATTTGAATAAAATGAAATTCGAGTAAAATTGCCATTTTACCATAAGGCAAAGACACAAATGTTATTAGAAATTAAGTGCAGCATACATTTTTTTTAAAAAAGTACATGAACAATTTTTGCCAGTAACTTTGAACTTTGTAAAATAGACAAAGTACTAGATAAAAATAGGCAAACTTAAGCAACAGAAAACCTAAACAATCCTATAATCACTAAAATTCTTAAAAATTTGATTAACTAGTCTTAAAATTTTCCCACATTTCACAGAAAAGGAAACAAGATGGCTAACATTCCCTGAGGTAGTCAGTGAGGTGTGGGGTAGGGAGGTGGAAAGGGACATGTACCCAGGAGCAAAAAAAAAAACGCAGGTGACTTAAGTCTAATCTTTCCTTAAACATTCTAATAACAGATTCCCCAACTGATGAGCTAATGCTGTGGCTCCCCAACTGTACAGTAAAGTGCCCCGGGCACTGGAGGATATTGAAACATTTCTAAAAAACACAGGGAAACTTGACATTTGTTGAGCAATCAGAAAACGCCTTGCTTGTAGTTCACATGGTCAACGTGACACTGTACTTCATTTCTTTCATTTATGTTCCATCTTTGTAGAGCTGCGCTTTGGGGGTGTGTCTGTAATAAAAAGCACCATTGCCAGGCGCGGTGGCTCACACCCGTAATCCCAGCACTTTGGGAGGCTGAGGCGGGTGGATCACGAGGTCAAGAGATCGAGACCATCCTGGTCAACATGGTGAAACCCTGTCTCTACTAAAAATACAAAACATTAGCTGGGCATGGTGGCGCGTGCCTGTAATCCCAGCTACTCAGGAGGCTGAGGCAGGAGAATTGCCCGAACCCAGGAGGTGGAGGTTGCGGTGAGCTGAGATCACGCCATTGCACTCCAGCCTGGGTAACAAGAGCAAAACGCTGTCTCAAAAAAAAAAAAAAAAAAAAAAAAGCGCCATTAACATCAATGGAGAACAAGATATTAGTTGGGAATGGTGGCATCTAATCTAATTCCAAGAATTAAGAGGGCATACATAGGCCTGACGAGGTGGCTCACACCTGTAATTCCAGCATTTTGGGAGGCTGAGGCAGGAGGATAGCTTGAGGGCAGGAGTTCAAGACCAAACTGGACAACACAGGGAGACCCCCATCTACAAAAAATTTAAAAAGCCAGAGATGGTGCCACCCCTGCAGTCCAAACTACTTGAGAGGCTGAAGCAGGAGGATAGCTCAAGCCCAGGAGATGGAGGCTGCAGTGAGCTGTTGTATTCTGCACTCAAGCCTGGGCTGTGCCACTGTACTCAAGCCTGGGAGACAGGGTAAGAGCCTGTCTCAAAACAATGAGAAAAAAAAAAAAGAGAGAGTGTATAACATCCCATTAATAAGTAACAGTATTTAAGAATGAAATGAAAGTTTTTTGTTTTTTTTTTTTAAGTTTATGGATACTATTATTCAAACTGCTACTAAATTGTTAGGACATAAATACTTATCAAGTTGTTTGAAAGTAACTAATTCATTAACAGAACTCGTATTTATTTTGGCCTCAGAGAAAATGTGAAAAAACAAAGACACCAGGGGAACCATGAACCAAGAAAATCTGATAACTTCTGGACCAAATGCTAGGTCAGTCCTTACCTACAGAATGCTCTTCGTAGGATGCTTTTGACTTTAGAATTGCATTTGGTAAATCAGCCCGGAATCTATGGATTATGAGGCATGCTTTCCAGGAAATGTCACCCAGCTATGCAACGTGAGTATAAAATGAGGTATTCATAACCTTGGGGCTTCCTGCTGTGTGCAGGGATTGCTCACTTCTGCCTCGGGTTCCTGCCTGAGTCAGAGAGGGCAGGAAGGGCTAGGGGAGCCAGGCCAGATGCCCCAGGCCTTGCTCTGCCCCATTTGTGCCTTTTCAGTCCTTGTGTCCTTACATTATAGTAAAGCTTGATACTGGGCAAGATTTCTGATTTGTTTGAATGTAATTCAATTCCCAGTCCTTAACTTCATTAGTAATCAGGGAGATTCCATGAAAACCACCATAGTGTTTTATCCCTGCCGGATGAGCAAAATCAATTTTTTTTATCCTAACAATACTAAGTGTTGGTGAGAATATGGAGTAGTGGAAAATCTCAAAACACTGCTGGCAGCACTATAAACTGACACATGCATTTGGGAAAACAATTTATGATCTAATAAAATTAAATATGTGCATATTGCATGATGTAGCAAGTCCACTTAGAGAAACTCTTGCACGTGTGTACCAGGTCATATGTACAAGAAGGTTCCCAGCTTCATGGTTCATAACAGCAACCCAAATGTCCACTGTGGGAAAATAAACTGACATGTTTATGTTTACATACATGGCATGCTATACAATAATGACACAAAGAAGCAAAAGCTACATGCTGCAACATGGGTGAAGATCACAGATATGATACCGCAAGGCAAGTGAAAAGACCTTTTTTTAAAAAACAAGCAAAGGAAAACAGTATATTGTTCAGAGATATGAACGTATATGGGAAGAATCATAAAAGCAAGAAAAAGATGAACACAAAATCCGGAATAATGGCTACAATCTCTGAGGGCCAGGGAGAGACGGAAACAGAGGCTGGGCCCACAGGTGCTTCTGAGGTTTGATCAGGTTCTGGTTCTGAAGATGGGTGGCAGCTATGACAGGTATTTTAATCTTTAAAATGTGCGAAAAAAGTGTGTTCAGCTGGGTGTGGCTCACACCTGTAATCCCAGCACTTTGGGAAGCTGCAGCAAGGGGATCACTGGAGGTCAGGAGTTCCAGACCAGCCTGGCCAACATGGTGAAACCCCATCCCTACTAAAAATACAAAGATTAGCCAGGGTAGGAGCACGCATTTGTAATCCCAGCTACTTGGGAGGCTGAGGAAGGAGAAGTACTTGAACCAAGGAAGCAGAGGTTGCAGTGAGCTGAGATTGCGCCACTGCACTCCAGCCTGGGCAAGAGGGCAAGACTCTGTCTCAGAACATTTTTTTTAAAAAGTGTGTTATCTCTACTTTTATATGTATGATATATTCCACAGTTAAAAAACAGAATGGATTACGGATATATAATTCAAGGTGGTATGGTCATCACATGATAATGATTTTTTGGGAATATGCATAGAAAAAAGAATAGAAGATACTCAAACTAGTAACTGCAGTTATCCCCAGGCTGTGGCACTATGGGTGATCTCTTCATGTTTTCTGTTATAGCTTTGTGTATCGAGCACATAGTTTTTGCACGCTTTTTTTAAAGCTGAATTAATCTAAGTATATCAAGTATGCACTGGACCACGCTACCCAATGTCCTTTCAGCTTCCCAATTGGTCTCCCACGCCGCGCACATAGGCCGCGTATGCTTGATACAGGAGTTGCTTTGACATGAAACAGAAAACAGCGCCTATCTAAGACCTCACTAAAGAAAAAAAAAAAAAACAGCAAAATTTCTCACATCGTAACTGATAACTACTGGGTTGCTATTTGTCTCTATTCTCACCACATCCTTTTATTATTTAAAATTCTACTTCTGGTTTTACTCCATCCTTTACTTTCCCCCTCGTGCTATGGGCATTTTAAAGAAAATCTCTAAAGCAGGGCCTGGCATATACAGCAGGCATTCAATGAATACTCGTACCCTCAGTGCCATGCTGTGTGGTGAACAACTTAGCGCAGTCCTAGCTCCAGCTCTTGCTGCTGAGGAGATCCCTTCTTGCCCAAACCTGCCCACCTTCAACGTAGAATCCATAAGGTGGCAAGGGCCAGCGGGAACAGGACGGAGAGGCATGCTTCCCACCCTCACTGCTCCCCCCGCGGCCTTCCAGTCCTATCAAGCCCACCCCTGTCCTCTCCAGATGCGCTAAGGGGTTATCTCAGCAAATAAAGTACACATAGAGCTGATGTGCCAGAAGCAATGCAGTAATGACAGCATTTAAATCAAATATTATAAAATGCTAACCATAGACAACAGATACAAATTCAATACAAGAGCTGGGCGCGGCGGCTCATGTCTGTAATCCCAGCACGTTAGGAGACTGAGGCAGGCGGATCACGGGGTCAGGAGTTCGAGACCAGCCTGCCCCACATGATGAAACCCTGTCTCTACTAAAAATACAAAAATTAGCTGGGCATGGAGGCATGAGCCTGTAATCCCAGCTACTTAGGAGGCTGAGGCAGAAGAACTGCTTGAACTTCAGAGACGGTGGTTGCAGTGAGTCACGATCACACCAATGCACTCCAGCCTGGGCAACTGAGCAAGACTTTGTCTCAAAAAAAAAAAAAAAAAACTCTAGAGTTTAGTTAGTA